TACTGAAAAATCATAGTAAAGTAAGTTCAACTCAATAAAGACTGATCTAAAATTATACAAGAAAGTTGTCAAATAATTTCGGGTATGATATAAAGCTTGGTCTATTTCAAGTTCAAATATTTGATTAACGTTGGGTAGTTTAAAACAATCACTTGGGTGTTAGTTTTGTAAATAGCAAGATTTCAAGTGCTATATATGTCAGTATCCCAAATATAAATAAATAAGTGCGAGCAATCTATAGTCTTAAAATATTTTGGAGGAAAGAACCACCTGGCCTTTCTGGAACCAGGCAGTGTAAGGCAATGTCACACCAAGTTGCATTTCATGTGCTAGCTCTCGAACAAGTGTCCTAGAGCCAATGAGCGGCACCACAGAGTCTTGATCACCACTGCAGATTGCGATTATCTTAGCTTCTATTAAAAAACATCAAGTTAAAATAAAATCGAAATTATAACTTGAATACTAACCTGAAAACCCAAACTGGTATACGTTTTCTAAGTATTCTTTTAAGGATGGGAATTATATTGATGTTTTCATCACCTTCATTGTAATTTAGGAACCTGTGTGTCAAGCCAAATTATATTCATACAATAAACTATATGATGCACAGACACAAAACAATTTATAAATGCATATTTAGTTGAAATTACTTTTCCCTTTTACAAAGACAGAAAGAAGCTCAAAAAAATAAAAGATGGAAGCAAGCAGCTCGCATATTAAAGACGAACAAATAGCGCTCATTCACAGAGAATTGGACTCATAAAGACACAATACATAAATCATATGAAAATCCGCATACAATTTTGTTAACAAATACCTTATAATACTCACCCACTGCACATGCTCCAGCTATAAGACAAACTGGTTCTGTTGGCATGAAGGGCGTGTTGAACTTCTGGTAGATTGAAATAAAAGTGCCTTTCACTAGTCATGCATACATCAACCCCGACACTCATCTTAGTAACCTGCCATTCTAGAGCACTTGATAAAACAATCATACAAGTAACTAGATTAAAATATTGGAAGATTTACATATGTAACGCTCAATTCTTATGTATTTACATATCTAACATCTAAACCTCAATTTTTGCATATATGCCATCTTCTGCATGCAAAGGTGAATTTCACCTTTAAAAAGTCAAAATAGTGGGTACTTCTGATGGGATATGAAAATTTTGGGTGGTGTAGATGTAAAGAAAAAAAAGTTTAGGTGTTAGATATGTAAATACATAGGAATTGTGTGGTATGTACGTAAATGCTCCAAGGTGAGTCAACATACATATTTTTTCAGCCTCAGTTCCTGCTCTACAATGTCTGGATAGCAGACATCAAGGATCACATCATATGGATTTATGTAATCCCCGACCTCTTTATCTGCTTCTGCAATTGCATCGTTGCATGTTTTGCTGATATTGTGGGAATCACTATACTCATAATCCTCAAAATCACACTCATTCATCATCTTGAGGCCTATCTCATCAGAAATCATCCCATGAGACCAATAATACTTGTAAGTGGCAGAAGCATCCTGGTCAAGTTTCAGAAGAGGATTCCCAATCTGCTCGAGCAAAAATTCATGGAATGTGGAGTTTTGGGCAAATAAAATTCATTTTTTATGTATATATGTTAAGCTGCTTCTTACAAAAACTCCTTTAATGTTGAACTTGAAATTATTTGGATGTTTGTTATGGTTCAAGAGAACAAGAGCGAGTTGTGGTATGTAGTGCCCTGTAAAAAATTATTTTTTTTATCAGAAAAATTTTTTGCCAATAAAATATTGGAAGGAAAAAGAAAGGTGATTAACCTGCATAACTTTCTCCTGTAAGAAACAAGTCTCGAGTTTTGAACTCGGGAAACTTCTCGAACCATCGCATCAAGAATATATGCATGTCATTTGCTTCATTGATCAAATCATTTAAGCAGTCAACTCAAACTATGCTAAGTCACAACATATACAAAATTTTTAGCCATTTATTATTTCTGTATAAAAATGTTACAAGCAAATATTACCTGTAGATGCATCTCCGGTTGTGTAATCAGAAGTTCTGTTTGAATAAGACCATCCAACTCCAGCAGGAGATTCAACAAATAGCAGATTTGATTCTGTAAATATGAAAAAAAGAAAGCTTGCAGGAATCAAGTTTTTTGATAATTGATATATAAGCAAACGAACTTCACTTAGTGAAATACAAAAAAATCAACTTTGTAATTCAGTTATTAGATGAGACAACCTTTATTCCATGAATGCTTGTTTATCCGGAGACCCCTACCATCCCCTCTTGGGAAGAACGGGCCCAATTCAGTGAAAGCACCACCTCCAACTGAAGAGCACCCAGGCCCTGCCATTGAGTTTTCCAAAATAAATAAACTAATTACCTGAAGTAAAAAATAGAAAATAAAAACAGAAAGGCCAGAGCAGTTTAATAAAGGTTTTTATAGAACTAATGTAGTCTTGCTTGCATGAAAAGAGAGATTGGAGAAAATATTCCCGCTCACAATGGGAAGAGATATGAAACATAACTAAGCACTCACTGATTCCATATACGGTGCAATATTTTTCTTTTGGTTTTGTGCTGTTTTAAAGTATATCTGTCTCATTTAGTGAGTCAATAATCAAAAGAAGGAAATTCTTATGCTGGAAATAAGTTCGTGTAAATGTCATGGAACCATTCAAAACTCGAGTCAATATGAGAAGGTTCATGTAGGAGTGGATCGGCAAAGCGGCCTACCAGCTATAAACTCTTTATGGCCACGAGTTCCCCAGGCTTTGAGAGGTGACAACCTGAAGTTTTTCTGTTCATAAATTCTATATTTTGTATTGTTTTTTAAAGTAACGGAATATGCATTTATTTATTTTTATTTTTTTTGTTAAAATGGAATAATTCGGGGAACTAAAAAATAAGAATTTCAATATTCCCTCACAAAATGTGCGATGGGATTTGAGGAAAGGCTAACTCCAAATCACACGCCCATTTTAGTATGGGTAAGGGTGAATGACCTGTTCTGGGTCACCTCGGCATGAAGGCTAACTGAAAAGGAGCGAGACTACTTGTAGGTGCAGCCCAGGTGCCCCCATGATGATTCCCTAAAAGAGAGTTAAAAGCTCCTAGGCAAGACAATCATCGCTTAGCAGCAAGTCACATACCTTAGTTTACTAAGGAAAGAGCAAATCAAGGAATGAGGAGACATCTTACAATAAAAAGCCATGTTTATTGCATGATGTCTGCCCATGCCTCTTTTGAAAATAAAGGAATAACTTGGAATTTTTTTGAAAAGTTTGCGTGACAAAAATAGACAAACTCGCCAAATGAATACTCACTCACCAGAAAAAATGAACATTTCGCCCAAATGCTAAATTTTCATCAATTCAAATGGCAGAATTAATTCATTCCCTCTGCAACCAAATTTCCGGCATGAGCACCCACCTGACTCAACTAATTATGGTGGCTGCCCCTACAAGCGTACAATCCCCCCCTAAGTTGATAGCTGAGGGGACGAAGTGCTACCTAATGGCAACAAGCCCATGTACGACGAGCAAATGGATTATCAAAAGAATTATGCAAACATATGGATAAAAACTCAACATATACAACTTGTAAGTTTTATTTTTTTTTCATTTATAAAGGCTCCTTGATTACAATGGAATAATATATTTTGCAAAAAGTCAAAAAATATAAAATAAAAGTTCATTCGTTAGTAGTGCTCCACTCACCGTTGTTTTCATCCTCAACGGAACTTAACATTTGAGCAAATGTTGTGAACTTCACCTTGTCTTGAAATTCAACAGGAAAAACCTTGTGTTTAACTAAAGGTCTCAAATGTCGAACTGGCCTCTGCTGACAAACTTCGTACCTAGAGCCTCTTCATATTGGCTCACACGGTAACTCCCTCGAAAAATTCACATATTGTCTTCATGTCTTTCATCTTTTATTTAAATAAGTGGAGTTCTTCTTTGAGTTCAACAATTCAGTGTTGGGCGGCCTTGAGCTCCCTTAGCCACCCCTCAGAAATATTGCAAGTCGTTGACAAGTTGGAGTCACTCTTGCAAAGATCTTCTTAACTTACAAATTGTAGACACTGGTATGTTGTTCTTAGCCACAGTGTTGATCTTCATCATTAAGAGAATGACATTCCCTTCAGAGAGGGAGGCATATGTTGAATTCAGCTTCGTAACTTGCCTGGAAACTCGCCCATAAGTCACACCCATCAGGTAGTTGAGTTGCCAAGCAGTCACACTTACCTGCAACACCTCACGTAGAATAGCCTCACCCGGGATCTTCTTCACCTCCTTCAGTAAGGACCATGATTAGAGCATGTACCGAGCTCTAGAGCCAACAAAGGCAGTGTCTCAGAAGAAACCCTCTAATTCATATTTATGTACACCTAGACAGAACTCTAGTCTTTGTTGAACTTTAACTTTTTTGAGTGTCGAGTGACGTAGTAAGGAGCACCTTAATGACCATTGGGGATTGCTCGGCAGGAGGTAAGGGAACCTCTCCTGTCTTAATTCTCTTGGAAGGAGGCTCCAACACTACTTCCTTCCCCTCGCTTGAACCACTAATTGAGGGGCAATAGCAGTGGTTCGAGGCGGCTGAGCTCCTCAGCATTCATTCTCACAGATCTTGAAGGGGCCTTCTATGGTGTGAGGTCGGGGCGCCCTGAGGAGGTAGGTACCACCTCTGCAATGGGAGACTCCATATCACTAGCCTTGCGACTGACATTCTCAGGCAATGGTCCTTGGCTCGAGAGCCATTATGCCGACTAATTCGGTCTCATCGGCCTATGAAGCAGAAACTTTTCCTTTAGTGGTGCTCATGTTTCTGCAACTGGAGACGCCGACGTGGACTTTGCTTCCTCCTCTTCACTCACTCCTTGTGATTCAATGTTTTGGTGAGCTCTTCAAAAGTTATCTAAACTCGATTTCTCATTATTAGAGAAGTGTATTAAGGAAATGGGTGTTATTATAGAGGCACTTTCCTTGGTTTTCTCTTTTTCCTCTTCCACCTAGTGCAAGAAGGCATTCACATCCTCACCATGGTAAGGTGTGCCATGAAAACAATTCACCGCATGATTAACCAAGATAAATGACCCAAAAGGGTAAAATACAAGCAAGGGTCTTTTGGAGAACCCTAAAATTGATGAAACTCTTGAGTCAGAGCTCCACATCATCCAATCTTTTGAAATACCCCATCTCAACGCTAGTAAGTGGGGGAATATTGAGCTTTTCGTTGTGAGACTGACCATCTTGAGAGAGATCCGCCATTTATTCTAAAATACCAAACAAAGCTAAACTAGACATTCCATGATCTAATCTTACTCTCCAGCCTGACTGTCCCGATGAAATAAGAGAACAACCCAAACCCGTCCTTGACAGCCTGAACTTAATTCCAAAAGAGGTCGAGGGACCAAGGTATCTTCTCCTTCCTCATGAAGATAATGACCAATAAAATACTTGCTCAACCAAAAACGAGCACAGGGGAAAGTGTAACCCTGAATGGAATTACACTTAGAAACAACATAGCAAATATGAAGAATAAGCATTCAGTGTTTGATTTTCTCGGAACTCACAACTGGTATCGATCATTAAAAACTCATTTTATTTGCAACAAGTTCAGATTAGCAGTAGAGAGCTCGAAGTTGTCGCCCATCTCGCTCTCCACAAATATCAATTGAGGGGGAGGTCATGACAAAATGAAGAACATAAATCAAGTGCGCGAGATGATACAAAAAACAAAATGAAGAACATACACCAAGTACGTGAGAGAATTGCACAAAAAATTCTCCTTTAAACTAATTTCCACTTATTTGGAAGCGAGATAAGAGAGAGAGTGTGTGTTGCTAGGCACTTTACCTATATGTCATCCTTAATGGTGTGTTTTTTGGAATATCATTGATTTAATTTTTCTTTTTATTTTATCTTTTATCTTCCCAAAAAGGCCCTTACTATGCAATAGTTTAAGGATTAGTTATGAGTGCATAAACATACCGACCACTTCCATCAGTGCAGGTGTTAAATCGACACACATAAATCTGTCTCTCTCATTGATGATTGGTGATTACAGTCCAATGATCTCAAAAAATAAAATTGTAACTTTACACTAAACTAAAACTTTTTATTAAGCAAAGTTTTAATAAAAACTATATTAAACACGAAGATTTGGGCAATGGATTGATCATCCTCTTCAACTTTCAAGGAGTCTATCTCAATCAGTTCAGTAACATTGGTGATAGCCTTTTCGGGGTCCTCAGAAACATGAGAAGGCTCCACCTTTGATTTTGCAACAACCTGAGACTCGTCAACTTCTTCCTTCCATAAATACGACTGGAATGACAACTTGGTCCACTTGATATTTAGGTCACCAAAAACCTCATTTAACACTAGCATAATTGTAGATTTTTTTTTGAAGTTTATGCTGCAGCAAATTCAACTAAAGGCATAAACATCATACCAACCACCTGCAGCAATGCAGTACTATATGTTGTAAGTAAGAGGGCGCTCAGGCCCTTGAATTCACTCAAGATTACAATAATAGCCGATGGAGGTACCTCCACTAATGGCCCCACAACTTGAATGTCCTCCTTTACTCTCAATATTTTGACAAAGAAGAGTTTTCTTCTTTCTTCATATTGTCCATAACTTAACTACGAGATAATTGTCAGAGATGTTAAATTTCACATGCAGAATCTCCATCTCGTGAACACTCGTGCATGTGAAGCTTGAAATATGAACCTTCAACTCAACAGTGAAGCCTAAATTTTTAGGGTTATGAGAGGAAACCTGGGTCACATCAATCATTAATTGTTGGTCATAAATAGAATATTAAACGATTGCCTAATATCTTGATTTTCTTATTCTTTTTTTTTTAGTAAACATACGGAGAAATAAGAAAATATGAAAACTAAATATATAAACACTCTTATTTCTCCCAACACAAGTTCAACCTGATGTCTAAGCAAATAACACCAAATGGGGTCAAACCTAGTTGTGTAAGGAGCTCTGATGCAACCTTTTGCAACTTGCACTAACTCATGTCAACTAACTATAGGGACTCACATATTAAGATAACCACCTGCTAGTCAATTCAGCCCAGACAAACTTACGACCCAGCTAATTTCGGCTCACAGCTTGCCCATAGAACTAACAACTTTTGCAGCTCACCCCTAGGCACGTTAAGCTTCGCATATGTAGGAAACAAACTATCCTAACAAGCATACGTAATACTACCAATGAAAGTCCATACCCTAGAAGATTGAGTTCAACGTCTATTTAAATTCTTATATAGTTTTATTGATTTTCTATCACATCTTTTATTATAAAAAAGGGCACCGCCCTATGACTATAAATATGAGGGGATGGTGCCAGTAAGTGGGTTATCTTTTCCCTCCTATTTGTTATTCACTTTACTATCTATGACAAAAGAAGGTAATCTTCCGCATGTTTCTCTCTCAAACCTTTAATTTACAAAAACACCAACCTAAGTGGTATGTATACCCAAGAACAAATTAGGATTCAACATTAAACCTTTTCTTTAACATATAACCTTATACATGTCTCTTTATTTAGGAAAAGTTTGCAGTAACATTGAAACATAGAAAAATCAAAGCAAAATTGATCGGTTTAAGATATACAATCCAGGCCGATGCTCCTAAGAAATAAGTAAACTCATAAATAGTAACTATTAAAGGACTCATACAAGAACCTTAACAAAATTAGACTCATTCAAGCATGTCTGAGCCTCTATGATTGGATCTTCACATTCTGAAAATGTGGCTTTCAAGAGCCCAAAAAGATTAGGCCATATTTGAATTCTATTGTTTCCCAATAATATTATAAGTGCTTTTCCTTATTCTTTATAAATTGTTGATGGCACTAAAAACGCTACTAGTTAATAGTATAAACAAGTATTTTAATGATAGCTATATTATCGAAGATTGTTATGATTGTAATGTAATAAATACATTCCATGCTTCCATTAGTTAGAAAAAAAAAGGACACTTACATGCATGGAGGTTTACACATAAATGACTGTTATGGATCGAAAAAGATATTAGCGAGCCTTATGGGCCTAAAAAGCCTTTTCTTTCTAATACATTGTTGTCGGGTTGACAAGTTATTTGGTTGACTCACTAAACTCATCGGTTAGGTTGACCTGGTGAATTTATATGTTGTGTACTAGATGTCGGGTTAACCTTCCAATTTTATTTGTCAAGTTACAACTATCACATTGAACTATCAAACTCATTTGTCATGTACCAGCTGTCGGGTTGACCTACTGAAATTACAAGTCGAGTACTCCTTGGAGCCATGAACCATCTGATATCCGTATTGACCTACCAATTGTCGATCATCGGCTACCCGTATGTCAACACTAGTTATGAGCCATCTAACATCCACATCATCATTGTCTGCTATCGATATGTTGCATAGACAAACATCGTACTATACTAAAATCATTTAAAATACTTTTTATAACCCAACGAGGAGGTCAAATCGGCTCGCGCTCTATAAATAACGATGCTCTCCCGCCTTTCAAAGACTTTTTTTTTTACTTCTTCCCCCGACATAAAGGGCTCATTCAAGCTCTTTACAGAGCCATCATATATTCCATTCTCTTCTATTTCATTTACAAGTGTAGCCTAGATTGTATGAGTCCATGAATGATTTGGGACCAAGCATCCTAAAAGGTTTCAACAGTACCATAAAATTCTTATATATTTATTTCTAACACCTAAACTTTCATATTTACAAACACTAAAAAATTTAATATTACATCACACAAACACTACTATGATTAACTTTTCAAAAGTGAAATACACATTTCCATTCATAAGTTTATGATATCAAAGTGTTACAAATGTAAATATCAATCTTCTGGAATTAGTGATGTAAATGCATGGAATTGTGCAGTATGCATGTAAATATCCAAAAATAAAATATTATATAGTGATATTTATGCTAAACTAACGTTTTTTCCAAAACAATGAATACATAAATAAATGGATTATAATTGATTGCTAGAAAATTTAAGAAAGATGCTTCTGAGACGTACACGCAAGAAGGTGGTGTTCTATAATTAAGGAATTAGAAATACACCTACGAAACCATAGTGCTCTTCTATTTATGAATTATAATATATATATATATATAGAGGTGTTCATATATATATATTATTTTAGAATCTTGTACTTAATAAGGAACCCAAAAAGCAGATTCCATCAAAATGTAATGAAAATACCATCTCCTTTCAGAACCTTATTTATATATATGAATAAACATCAGTAAATGGAATATAGATTGCCAATAAAAAAGTTGACAAAGGAATATTAAAAGTGGAATGCTATAATAACAATACTTAATTATAGTTGCTTAGCAATGCTTATCAAGAAACAAATAAAAATAAAAGGTTAAAGCTACACTTCAAAAAAAAAACCCGGAGATGATAAGTGCGTGCAATATAATTTTATATGAGAAGATGAAGTGGTCCTCGGGTTTTTTTGAAGTGTAGCTTTAGCCTTCTATTTTTATTTGTTTCTAGATAAGTTTGATCGCTGATCAACTCAAAGTCTGATAGAGGGGCAGACTCCCCTTCCAGACAGATATGCAATTCATTCCTACGCAGGGATCGAACCTTCGACCCGAGGGACATACATCAAAGGCAAAGTCGCAACCAATGAGCCAGGCGCGCGCGCGCACACACACAGATATATAT